GCCGCCATCCTGCGCGCCAGCGCCGACGCCAACGCCAAGGCCACGGCCATGGCCAGGGCCGCCGGAGCCACCGGCATCACCAGTATCACCAGTATCACCAGTATGACCGGTATCACCAGTATGACCAGTGCCACCAGTAAGGCCACCGGCGCTCCCAGTTTGGGCGGCAGCGTCATCGTCACCAGAGCCGCCGCCGGCGCGGCTCCCAGCGCTCCCAGTTTGACCAGTACGACCAGTCCGGGGAGAGTCGGTGCTGGGATTGTCCCTAAAGCCACCGGCGGGACCAGTCCGGGTGTCACCAGTGCGACCAGTGTGACCAGTTTGACTGGTGCAGCGGCTCCCAGTTTGACCAGTGCAGCGGCTCCCAGTTTGAACAGTGCAACCAGTTTGACCAGTGCGGCGGCTCCCAGTTTGACCAGTGCAACCAGTTTGACCAGTGCTGCGGCTCCCAGTGTCACCAGTACGACCAGTTTGACCAGTGCGGTGGGTCCCAGTTCAACCAGTTTGACCGGTGCGGCAGCTCCCAGTTTGACCAGTTCAACCACTGCTACAGCTTCCAGTGTCACCAGTACAACCAGTTTGACCAGTGCTGCGGCTCCCAGTGTCACCAGTGTGACCAGTGCAGCGGCTCCCAGTTCAACCAGTCTGACCAGTGCTGCGGCTCCCAGTGTGACCAGTTTGACCAGTGCAGCGGCTCCCAGTTCGACCAGTTTGACCAGTGCTGTGGCTCCCATTGTGACCAGTTTGACCGGTGCGGCAGCTCCCAGTGTCACCAGTTTGACCAGTGCTGCGGCTCCCAGTGTCACCAGTTTGACCGGTGCATCGGCTCCCAGTGTCACCAGTTTGACCAGTTCCACGGCTCCCAGTTTAACCAGTATCACCAGTACGACCGGTTCCACGGCTCCCGGTGCCGCCAGTGCTGCCGTTCTCAGCGCCACCAGTTTGACCAGTGCTCCCAGTATGAGCAGCGCTGCTCCCAGTTTGACCAGTGGCACCCGTGCT